GGCAGGGGGGTGGGATCTGGATGGTCTTTAAGGTGCCTTCCAACCCAAACCATCCTGTGATTCTATTCTCCATCTTCCTCAGTGTCCTCTCTGTAGACGTGCTTACTGCCACGTGAAGTCCAGCCATGCTGTTGTTGCTCCTACAGTTTAGATAAAATTGTGAAGCATTGATAAACCAACGATAGCTCTGGGATCTACTTGTAACCAAAATACCCATTAAAAACGCCTAAAACTAACAGGCAATGACACTTGTGTAAGACTGTTTAAGTGCTCATTTTATGGGAATATGTAATCACTCACCCTTCGATAGAGGATTATTGGTGCTCTAGCAGACAACTAGGATTTGAATTTTTTCTTTGTTTTGCTTATGTATTCAGAACTCCAGAGACTTCTAAAATCACACAGCTGAGATGTTAAGTAAGGAGTCTAGATTTCTGAAAATACTAGTAATTCAGTTACATCCCAATATCTGCCTATCCCTCAGCTGTACTGAGGGCAAGAGGTGAAGGTCTGGCAAACAATTGTTACTGACAAGTCTGTTATGAGACTGGGGGAAGGAGTACTAACCCAATTGTTCCTAACTTAACAAAAATGTAGAAATTCTCCATCTTCGGGATGGCAGGCTGACACAGCTTAATTGTTTATGGTCCAAGCTGTAGTAAGTGGGTATGTGTATTCTTAGACCGCCACTCCTCTGAGAATGATGCATACCTTTCCAAAGTGCATCTCCTTGGGAATTGTTACTGTGGCTAAGCTATAGAGGACACTAATATGCTGAGTTACAGCAATATTTCTTTAAATTATTTATCCATATTTTAAGACTGTAATTACAACTGAAAATCTTGTTAAATCTGCAGAAATTTTAAAATGTCTTTTTTTACTTGAAACTCAACCTTAAATTCTAAACATGAGTCTGATGATAAAACCTATGTTTTATAACCATATCATCTTTTCTTAGAGGAAAGCTTCAGTGTGTGCTCCTGCAATTCCAGCAAGGTCAAATAGAAAGGTTTAATTTCCCGATGGGAAGAGATGTATAGTCTGTTTGGCTTGCTGGTATTGTCAAAGCAGGCTAGGAATAAGGTCAGGCCTAGTGCAATCCCAGCTATGTCAGAATGCTCTAGAAGATCAGAAAAGAAGGTTGCTGCTTTTTTACAAGGGATCTGGGTAGATGTGACTCCACAAGCAACCATGTCAAAACATAAGGTATAGCTAAATGGCTGAAGCAGACTGATGTGAGCTGATGAGTATGTCTCATACTGCGAAGGAAACAACTGGCATTGTTTCACCCTGACCTACCCTCCTAGGAGAAGCTGCTGGAGCTGGTTGGAATGCAGTGTTGTGCTCTTTTGCTCTTAGATGCTTTGGGGTTTGTTAATGGCAGTAATAATCTGCCTGGATTTCCTCATTCCTGCAGGTGTGTGACATGTACCTGGAGTACAATCTGCCTTTGGTGATAATGCCTCCCGCCGGGGTTTTCTACCCAGCGCTTCTCAGCATGGATTCTGTCTGCTTCAATCAGCTCTGCTACCTTATGTACAGGTACTACGAACAGTGTGTGCTGCAGGCACTCTCTTTCGGTCTTTAGGAAATCAAATCGCTTTGTAAAATCTGAAATCTACTTTTTCTTACTGTGCAAAGCAAAGGTGAAGGCTCCAGTTGTGCACAGCTTTCATGAAACAGGATTTATAGGTGTAATTCCTACTTTCCTTTGTTCAGTCCGTTATCCAAAATAGCAGGATTCTGGACTCTTTC